CTCTGCTGGCCTTCTGTGATCAGAGCAGGGGCTTCTGCTGGGAATGTTGTGGGTAGGGCAACTCCTGCAATGGCAGGGTTACAGGGTTAGTGGGGTGGGTGGAGCCACTGAGCAGCTCTGAGGCAGGGTTGTTCAACAAAACTAGGCTTGTACACTTGTAGGGAGGAAGGAGCTCTCAAAGGAGGCTTCTGCAGGCCCCTCCCCAGTTGGGGATGAAACAGGGCCAAGAAAGCCGAGAGAGCTTCTCTCTGCCTGCCAGGCAGCAAAGTTTGATGCTGCTGCTGGGCAGAGTGGGTTGATTTGTTGGCAGTGCACACAAGGAAGTGCCTCACAGCTGAGTTGCCAGGGAGGGAGATGGAGCTTCTGGAGCTCCCAATAGTTCCAAACCTGTTGGGTCGTGGAAGGGCGGGAGAGGTATTGTGCACCTGCCCTTTCTCCTGAGGATAGAGCTCTGTCCAGCCCTTTCCTCTTTGGCACTCTACCCACCGCTGGGAAGTCTTTCAAACTGCTGTCTCTGCTTTGGAACTTAGTGGGACCAGTGGACAGTGGCTATCTTTTACAAGTGACAGGAGTCTCAGCTTCCCAGAATATTCCAGCTGTCCCTGGTGTCCAGCCTTGCTAATCACCAGAACCCAGTGCTGTGTGGACTCATGTTCCCAGAGCAGATCTCCAGGGCCAAGTGTGCAGTGATCCTGGTTATCCACCGCCTCCCCATTTTGTTCCTCTTCTTCCTTCCTGTGGTTTGGGAAGGGGAAAAGGCTTGGGACCCACTCAGCCATGGCTCTGACACTTTACCCTTCTCTGTGTGGCCTTCTCTTCTTCTCCAGGTGCAGGTGGTCTGTTCTGCAGTCTTCAGGTCATTTTCAGGTTTAGTTGTATTTGCTGTAGTTGCTTTCTTGGTGTGTTTGTGGGAGGAGGCTTCTGACTTGTCTTCCTACTCAGCCATTTTTACCCCTTAAACTGATCTTTTAGCTTGATCATGGATTCATAAAATTTGATGTCATAAAGAAATGAGATGTAGCAGGATATATCACAGTATAGATTTGAGGAAAACATGAGTAACATAATAAATTTTTGATTATATACAGTTTAACATTTGTTTTCTTTTCTACTAATGTTTGAAAGAATAGATGTTAATCATAAAAAGAGTGACATTTACCATTTCTTGAAGTCTATGTACCAGTCACTCTGTTAAGTGTTTACCTTTCTCCATCTCATTTAATTCTTACAACAGCTGTATAATATATATATAATTATTACCTCCAAATCTGAGATATGGAAATTATGACATATACTGAACAACTTTCTTATGGTATAACAGTAAGTTCTAAAGCTGTGATTTGCCTCTCAGCTGTCTGAATCCAGAGAATGAAGTTTTTCTCTCTTTGCTATTTTCTATTCTCCTCCACCAAAAAAATTGGTTAGGACAAAAGGACATTAAAACTTAATAGTTATAATGAATATACATTAATATGTTATTGCTTCCTTTCTTTACTAATGAAGCTAGTGAAATCCCAAATGAAAATCTGCATGTGTTTTTAATTTCCAATATCTGATTTATATTATTTTGTGCCTATATATTTATAACAAATACAAATATGTATAATATTATAACAGCAAATTTGAAAAGAAACACAACTGCCTCGTATATTCAGATCATAAATTTTGCTGCTATAACCTACAGAAAACTTGATAGCAAAATATATCTAACAAAAAACAAATGGAAAATATACCTTTTGTGGGTGTAGAGTGAAGCAATTCATAGATGGCTCTAAAGGTTTAGGTAAAGTTTTATTTCATAGTAAAGTGATTGATACATAATTGTTCATCTTACAATTAGTATTTTAATTAACATATTTATATGTGGTATTTGGTTGCCGTTACTATTATCATAAATACCAAGGAGTTATATTCTCACTGAAAACAATGAAATACAAAAACTAAACCTTGCCTATGATATCTGTATTTCTTCAGTAACTTGTAACCTGGGAAGTAGTTTATGCTTTGCAAAAATACTAATGCATAATTCATATTTTAAAAATTAAGAAAATGCTTTTAGATTAAAAAGAGTGATTTGAATGGATTAAATGGCTTTTAGAGGAAACTACTGCTCAGACATGTCATCAGTGCAATAATACATTGGAATCCCACTGGTGTACAAAATACAGTAAATAACATAATAAAAGTATTCATAGGAACAAGGGCAAAAATATTTCAAGAAAATTTGTAAACAACCTTGTCTGAGAGTAGTTATCATGTTCAAAACCTCATGTGGAGCAGAATTTTATAGCAACAGAAGGAGGGCTGGTCATGTTCTTTGAAAATGTTAATACTTTGTACTAATCATCAAACATAGTATGTAACTGACACAACTGTAAAACATACATTATGACTTGGTTATGTTCAAAAATTTCAAAAATAAGTAATATGAAATTGATAGTTGTCAAAATGTTAATCTTATATTAACATTAATGTTATGTTAATGCATATGTGGAAGCTTGCTCATACAAATAAACATTTTGCATAAAAGCTGATTTTTCTGGTTTGTCCTTTGAGCATGGAATTTTTATTCCTTTACTAACAAATATAATTATAAATAATTGCTGACAACTACTAAATTTTATTTTATGAAAAATATGACTTCTTTAGTTCTTGTCATTTCTGCTACTGTTCAAGAATATCCCATCATAATGGAGTGGTCTCTGGAATTATATTGCATAATTAGCAGACAAAGATTGCATGTATTAAATATTAGTACTATAAAATATTTATAAAATATTAAGATGTGTCAAAACAACATGTAGTTACTTAAAATGCATATGTGTTATTAGAAATAACTTTATGTATTCATGTGGTAAAATAAAATTATAAACACTGTGTAAAAACACCAATAAATTCATAGTTATGTTTGAATAAATTTTCCCTTAAATAATAAGAATTGATGGATACATGCTAGATAGGCAAAACTGGTGACTTTTTGATTAACTAGAAACATATTTAAAAAGAATTAATATGGCTTATGTTGAATAAACAAATATATTTACAAATTAATACATGCCTACTGTGGGCCTCAGGTTTGATACACCTTGCACATGTTCTCAATTGAAATAAAAATCATGCTTGGGAAATTCTTTGTATTTAAATAAATTATCTTGCTTTTTATAGATACTTTTAGAACTTAAACATTTTAAGCAATAATTGTTTGGCTTTCCAAACTATCAAGATTTCAATATGACTACTTATGTAGTCATTTTTTTTTAATTAAAGTATCATTGATATACAATGTTGTGTTGGTTTCAAATATAAAACACAGTGGTTCAACAGTTACCCATATAATTAAATCCTTGCCCCCTCTTGTGCGGTTACTATCTATCAATATAGAAATATGTTAAAGAATCACTGACTATGTCCCTGTGCTGTACTTTTATCCACATAAACAACTTATACTTGATTATGAATTATTGTGCCCCTTTATCCCCCTCACCTACACGAACACCCACCCCAGCCCCTCCCCCTTGGTAACCACTAGTCACTTCTTGATGTCTATGAGACTACTACCTTTTTGTTCCTTCTGTTTTGCTTTGTTTTTGTATTCCACAAATACGTGAAATCATATGGTATTTGTCTTTCTCTGCCTGGCTTATTTTACTGAGCAAAATACTGTCTAGATCCATCCATATTGTTGCAAATGGCAGAATTTATTTTCTTTTTATGGCTGAATAATATTCCATTGTGTATATGTACCACATCTTCTTTATCCATTCATCTATTGATGGACACTTTGGTTGCCTCTATATCTGGGCATTTGCAAATAGTGCAGCAATAAACGTGGGGGTCCATATATCTTTTTGAATCAAGGATTTTGTAAATGCTGGCAAGGATGTAGAAAAATGGGAACCCTCTTACACTGTTGGTGGGAATGTAAATTGCTGCAACTGCTGTGGAAAGCAATATGGATGTTCCTCAAAAAACTAAAAATAGAAGTACCATTTGACCCAGTTATTCCACTCCTAGGAATTTACTACTCAATCCTTTTAAAAACATGTGCTATCATGGAATTATGTGCCATATAGTTACACTGAATAAACATTCTTACGAAAGTTTGTACAACTGGGTAAGGGAGCTACTTGGGGAGGATCAGAAAAGGAAGGACTGCATATCCTTAGGTCTGGACATGTGACAAAACTGAAACAAATGAAAGAAACAACAGGTATACAAGAGTATGAAAAGGCTGCCAGGTGCAGCCTCACATAACTCAAACTGCATTCCAGCGTCTAATTTGTAGTGTCCTGCACCTACTAAGTATGGGTTTATAAAGTAAGTGAGATGAATTTCTGAAATTCCACACAGACAGATCTCTAGTGTGAAATCATTAAAAGTATGAATTAAATCATTAGACTGAGATTTTCCAAGACCTTAAATTAATTCAAAATTTAAAGCATAGAAAGAGAGTCAAATTTTGCCGGTATAAAAACTGATAAGTAGGACCTCTGTGTGGGATTATATATACAAAAATTATTTCAGGAAAATATATAGTCCCCCAAATCTGGGGGCTTGGTCTTTTGTTTCTAAACATCTTCGTGTAAACTAAATTCCTAATAAGAATGAAATTTCATTTTCCCTAGGGGACACTAATAAAACATAGAATAAATATGATTCTTCAAAAGGTATTTTTATTCCTTAACACTCAAATTCCATGGGGAAGATACCATACATAATCTAGATATCAAAGAGTTTATCATACCCACTTGTAATTATTTTAAAATATATGAAGCATGTACTGAATCACTGAACCGCAGATCAGGAGAATAAAGTAGAATGTCTATGTAATATCGCCAAGTTGTTCGGGCATGTGGTGAAGGTCCCATACGGTTTGCTTTATTAACATTATACAACTTCACAAATGATCTCCTGCCAGCAATATGAGGAGCGCTGACTTTGGCTTGTAAAGGTTTCTGATAATTTTATTTTGAACTTTCGAACATGTTTTTATTCCTAAGGTCTGGGAATTGGGAACATGTTCTACGTTTTTTATGAAGATGGAATCAAAGTGATACAACCCATAGAATGTGAATTCCAGCGGCACATTAAGCCCAGTGAAAAACTCCTTGGATTTCAGGCAAGTATCTGAAAGATTCTTTTGCAGTTTGATGCAATAATTTTGTTAAGCGGAATTATGTTGTAGGAATACAATAACATCTATACATATATGAGATGTGGTGGGAAGAAAATATCTAAACTATGGTATTGACTATGATTCTATGCAGGTTTTGTATTTGAGGAGGAAAATACTATATTGTATATTAATATATATTACATTTTCCTAATTACCTGTTTGTAAGTAATAAAGGCAATAGAAGTGAAATTTGAAGAATGAACATACCATAATTTCACCTCCTTAATTTAAAATCTCTCCCATTTTGGTAGGCAATAGTTACTTTAACAAAATGAAAGAAAATAGCCTATTAGCAATTCGATGAGAAATTGGGATATATCTGATGCTTTAAATGTTGATTCCCTTGTATTCTTCATCTCATTTTTCATAGAGTCTCAATGGAATGAATAGTTTAATTTATATGGGAAAATACCAATTTGTTTATTTACTTACCTGTACCTTACCATTCTCAGAAAGATTTCTTTTATGGAAAATATTGGTGCAGCATTCAGAAAATGAAAGAACATCTGATAAAATGGGTATGGATTATACATATAAGGGACTGACTTTTTGCAAAATAATAAATTACAATAATTTTAATATTGCCATGGCTGTATATCTCTCCACACAAATATGTATATACCAAGGTATATAATATTAAAGGTGCCTGTGTTACCTACATGTTAACACACAAGTTCAGACATACATCCAACACCCAAAATGAGATAAGATATTGGAAGACCTCATAATGAAACTCCCTCTTGATTCTCATTTTTAAAGTTGGCATGTCCATGAGATATGAGTAAAATAAATATTTAATACCATAGTTTAGATCCTTTACTCTCACCTTCTATTTCCAGCCTACCAGTAGCCAGTGTTGTTGTCATATATTGACATATGGAGACAACAGTTTACCCCTTAAAGTCATGCCCTAGAATGAGAAAAAGAAAAAAAAAAGTATGTGAGAATAAACTAAGATAGGCCAGCTTCCCTCCAGATAATCTGTGGGGTATAGCAATTTAATTGACCTCTTCTTTTAAATGAGGGAAATAATTTAATTCAGTATGTCTATGATTGTTTAAAACAAAGGAAACAATTTTTTATTTAAACATATTTTAGTTATAGCCTAAATTACTGAATAGAATTATTACTACTTTTGCTATTATAGTTTGATAAGTGCAAAAACATTTTAAACTGCTCATGTCATTTTGTTTTGTTTTATAACTATGTAATATCAGTACTAAATCCATTTTGAATAAAGTGGTGTGTGTAAAAAAACACACATAATAAAAATGTAAATACTCTGTCCATGTTGTTGCAAATGGTAAGATTTGTTTTCTTCTTATGGTTGCTAGAGGGTATTATGCTCAGTGAAATAAGCCACGCAGAGAAAGACAAGTATTAAATGATTTCACTCATCTGTGGAGTTTAAGAACAAAGCAACAACTGAAGGAACAAAACAGCAGCAGACTCTCAGAACCTAAGAATGGACTAACAGTTACCAAAGGGAAAGGGTCTGGGGAGGATGGGTGGGAAGGGAGGGATAAGGGGAAAAGGGAGCATTACGGTTTGTACACATAATGTAGGGTGGAGCACACAGGAAAAGCAGTATAGCACAGAAAAGACAAGTAGTGACTCTATAGCATCTTACTACACTGATGGACAGTGACTGTAATGGGGTATGTGGTGGGGACTTGATAATGGGGGGAATCTAGTAACCACAATGTTGCTCATATAATTATATATTAATGATACCAAAATTTAAAAAATGTAAATACTTGCTTCTGATGAAGCAAGTCATTCAACTTTTTACCACATTCATATTTTGTAAAAACATTATGGGTAAGAAAGCTGGAGTAACACACAGGAATAAGAAATGTGGCATCAAATGATTATTTAAATCAGAGCAAAAAAATTTTACAGGACAGTTTCTTTTTGATTCCTGTAGAACCAGCAGTTTTGTAGCTGTCACAGATGTATTGGGTAAATCACAGAATTTGAAACTTCAGTTACTAATAAGATAATCTGTGAAACCCATACTTTTCATCACAAAAAGTGTCATCTCATGAGTTTGATTTGCAAATTTAAAGACATTTTCTTTGTGTATTACATGTGTGCTATTCCAGGGTATCAAGTTTACTCAACTCTTAAAGAATGTGCTTTTTCAGTGTTTTTTAATGACTCGGTATGAGTTAATTTAGCTCTGTATGAGTGGAATTTAATGCTCAAAAAGAAGCAAAAATGATGTGACAATTTTGTGATATGTCTGGATAATAGGGATGTGAGGTTTACTCACCTGAATTTCTCTCTCTTTAAACTCTGAATATTTGGAGGCCCTCCTAAAACAACTAAAGTAGGAACTATATAGAATTACTTGTATTTATCTCTCTATATATCTGAGTATATATAGTGAGAAGTTACATGCACATATATATATATAAATAATCTATGATTTTCTATAAGAATTTAAATGTTGAAGAGGGAGTAGAAACCAAATACCAGGGATGACAGCTTCAACCCATTTCCTTCATCCTGAGACAAGTGCATTTGAGCAGTGACAAAGCAGGGATAATTTGTTATTAGGAACTAATTGACTGTATCAGATTTTCCAAGTCATACCCTTGGAAATCTTACAGTTTCTAACCCATAGGATTATACTAGAAATGCATACCGCAAAATGAAAAGAAATACAATAAAAAGTTAGCATTCTTATGTTACATAAAACAAAAATTTATAAAAAAATCTCTACTCTAATGGTCAGAATAAGCAAAATGAATATGAAAAATCAGATTTATATTTTTTACTTTGTGACATTTCTAATGGCTTGAATGTTGAAATTAAAATAAATTTCAGTTAACCAATATACTTTTTAAAGGCAAACAATAATACAGAATGGTGAATTGGCTAGTTATGTCCTGCTTCCAACCAGTAAATGCAGACTATAGAGGCATTCATTTATACCAAAAAAAGAAAGACATAGTTCTTATGTAATTATTATATTCCATGTATGTGAAATGAAGGCTAGTGTACATAAACTTTTATTTTATATTGCTCTTTTATTTTTTATTCTTTAATGTGAGATGAGTTTCAATAATTGGAATATTTATATACAGACACTTTCATGATTCATAAGTATACAGTGGTAGAAATAAAAATTATGTTAGTCATTGAGAGTAGAAGTTGAACTAAGTAATTATTTTATGAAGCTTTTTTGTATTCTGTTTAAATGAAAGATGTGATTTTCAGAGTGTATAAGCTATTTGGTGCAAATTCCACTAGATTTACATTTCTAATTATAAAATAGTTTCATAAGAAAATTGTTGAGTATTATGTAAGGGGAAAACTTTTCTTCAGATAAACAGAACCAATAGGATTAAAATCTTTATCTGTGTCTGTATCTGTATTTCTTTTTTTTATGAAATTGGCACAGGTGATGGCGGGTGGGCTGGCAAGTCTGAAATCTTTATGGCAGGCCAACCAGCAGGAAATTCAGATAAGAGATGATGAAGCAGTCTGAGCCTAAAATCTACAAGATAGGTCAGCAGACTGGAAATTCAGACACAGGTGTGAACTGTAGTCTTGAATGTAAAATCTGCATGTGGGTTGGAAACGCAAGTAAATTTCTATGTGGAAATCTAGAGGCAGAATTCCTTTTGAGGAAACCTCATTATTAAATCTTAAGTCCTTCAACTGATTGGATGAGGCCCACTCACATTATGGAGGGTGACCTGTTTATTTAAAGCAAATTAATTGTAAATGTTAATCACGTCCACAGACACCTTTACAATAACATTGAGACTCATGCTTGACCTAACTGGGCATAATAACATAACCATAGACTAGTGGACATATAAGTTAGCCATAATATTTTACTCTCTCTTTCAATCAAGGACCTTGTTTATTTAGATTCTATTCCCAGCATGCTTACAACAGTGCTTTACACATGGCAGGTAATCAAGTAACTTTTATTAAATAAATTCAATAAAGTTCCATTGCTTATAACCTTGGGCTATTTATTCCTCTATGGATTCTCTAAATTTAAAGATGTGTATATCTGATTTCCTCCTCACCTTAATATTTCTCCTTACTTTACAATTCCCATAAAACAGTGTTCTTCTTTTAATGTGTTCGTGAAAAGTGTTTCACAGAATAATTTACCATTGAATTCTTTCAGGGTAAATATGACCTCATGGGTCTATTAATTCAAGATCACATAGTCAAAATGTACTGTGCAGATACTCTGTGTAAGATAGTTTGGAATTCTATTAGAGAGAAAAAGCCAGTTCATCAGGATTTTAGGAGATAAATCTCTTGAGTGCAAGAAGTAGTAATGAGTCTTCTGGAATCATTTTTTTCCATAAAAAAAGTATTAAACATAGTATTTTTCAAAGTCACTGCTGATATTAAGAGAATAGCAGGATAACCCCAATATAACTCATTCATCATTAGTGTTCAAATAAAAACTGAGATATTTTAAATATAGAAACTTCCATCAAATCTCTCAGAAGATGCTATTTGCTTGCTCTAAATAAAAACTCAATTTTCCTTCAATGTCAAATTACATCAGACCTCAGTGTTTGAGTTGGTGAGGATTCATACAACATACTTTTGGTTATATTTTCATCTCCTCTTTTTCCCCTTTTTTGTTATGTTGCCTTACTAGACAGGCATCTTGTTTCTTATCCCAATTGTATACATGATTTCATCTTGTCATCTACAGTATGAACTTTAAGCAGATAGAATTCTGTTCCAGACTTATGAATTCAGAACTCAAACTGAAATAGATTTGGGAAAATATTTAAATTATAGGTCCAAAGATGGAGGCTTTTCCAAGGTTACCAACTTTTTCCACCTTTCTGGTTTTCAATTATTTTGTCATCCTTATCTATCACTCTTTTAATCTTTAATTCTTCTTAATTCAATTGGATCTATGTTTGCTTATAGATCTAGCTGCTGTTCATCAC